CCACCTTGGGCACTATTTTATCACTGATACTCGAGCTTAACAACTTTGAATTTAACGGTGAACATTATGTTCAAACCAGCCGCACCTCGATGGGCACAAAAATTGGTCCCAATTATGCGAACATCTTCATGGGCATTCTAGAAAATAACTTTCTCGCCACTCATGACCTTAAACCACTTTATTACAAACGCTTCATTGACGACATTTTCTTAATTTGGCACCATGGTGAAGCGGCATTACATTCTTTCATTGCAGACTTTAACAAAGTAGAACCATTCATCTCTTTTTCCCACTCTTATTCACCAGTCACCATAACCTTCCTTGACGTCAATGTAGCTTTAAGCAATGGTAAACTAACGACAAACCTATACAGGAAGCCCACTGACCGACAAAGATATCTTCATTTTAAAAGTAGCCATGTCAAACACTGCAAAACAAGTATCCCCTATAGCCAAGCTATCCGTTTAAAAGAATTTGTTCGGACAACCGGGATTTCACTCGCAACTGTGACCAGCTCCGTAAAGCATTAACCGAGCAAGAATATCCTTCACAAATAATTGACGACGCTCTCCAACGGGCCAAATGTCTCGATCGGAAAGAGCTCATCAGTAAAGACAAGCGATTAGCGCCACCTTCCCGAACCAACCTCGTTCTAACACATTCTGCATCTATTCCTAACGTGTCGCATATACTCAGAAAGCATTACAACATACTGACACAGAGCGATAGGCTTAAGGACATCTTCACTGAATCACCGCGGGTTGTATATCGGAGATCGAGGAACTTGCGCGACATGGTAACTTCTTTCAAGACTAGATTCATTGCTCCCGTTGGTTGTCACCCCTGTAAAAAAACGCGATGTAAAGTTTGTGCGCACATGACCACTGCAACTGTTGCTAAATGCACGGCATCTAACTTTTCACTTAGGATTAAAGGGGACTTAAACTGCGATAGCAGTAACATCATTTACTTACTTGAATGCTCAATCTGCCACATGCAATACATCGGTCAAACCGAGACATCTTTTCGCATCCGTTTCAACAACCACAAATCACACGTAAACAGTTTGCCACATGTTCCATTGTCCAAGCATTGTCATCTACCAGGTCATTCGTTTGACAAGATTATGGTAACACTATTAGAATATGGCTTTAAATCGCACCATGATCGCGAAATTCGAGAATCGTTCTTGATTCACAAGTTCAACAGTCTGTTATCCGGCATTATCGAATGCGTAGGAAAAGTGTCATGCCTTTCTACGATGCCCTGACGTCCGAAATTTTGAGAAATATTCAAAGAAGCATCCTTGACGTATAAATACTTCCTAAAGGTTATCATATAATTATTTTTCATGCGTGATCCTCGTCGTCAATGGTGAATGTTACAAATGCCTTTTACATGCCCACAATCTTGTCTATTGTATTAAAGTTTAATGGTTTGTAGTGTAGTCACGGCTGTTTTAAAGACTTTTTGTGACACTCACATGCTGATCGCACGTGTTTTGTACTGACGTGTTCATGCCTGCCCATAAAAGTGGCCACATACTCGTATTTCTGTTAATCCTGACGAAGGCCGTGCCAGGGCCGAAACGTAGAGTAAACAATTATCAAACTTTCGTAAGTGTGCTCCTTTATTCTTAATTATCATCATCATCATCATCAGCCTGACTACGTCCACTGCAGGACAAAGGCCTCTCCCATGTTGCGCCAGTTAACCCGGTCCTGTGCTTGCTGCTGCCAATTTATACCCGCAAACTTCTTAATCTCATCTGCCCACCTAATCTTCTGTCTCCCCCTAACCCGATTCCCTTCTCTGGGAATCCAGTCAGTTACCCTTAATGACCAGCGATTATCCTGTCTGCGCGCTACATGCCCTGCCCATGTCCATTTCTTCTTCTTGATTTCAGCTATGATATCCTTAACCCCCGTTTGTTCCCTAATCAACTCTGCTCCTCTTCTTGTCTCTTAATGTTACACCTACCATTTTTCTTTCGATTGCTCGCTGCGTCGTCCTCAATTTAAGCTGAACCCTCTTTGTAAGTCTCCAGGTTTCTGCTCAGTAGCTAAGTACCGGCAAGATACAGCTGTTATATACCTTCCTCTTGAGGGATAGTGGCAATCTACCTGTCATAATTTGAGAGTGCTTGCCGAATGTGCTCCACCCCATTCTTATTCTTCTAGTTACTTCAATCTCGTGGTTCGGCTCTGCGGTTATTACCTGCCCTAAGTAGACATAGTCTTTTACAACTTCAAGTGCACTATTACCTATCTCGAAGCGCTGCTCCTTGCCGAGGTTGTTGTACATTACTTTCGTTTTCTGCAGATTAATTTTAAGACCCACCTTTCTGCTTTCCTTGTCTAACTCCGTAATCATGAGCTGCAATTCGTCCCCTGAGTTACTCAGCAATGCAATGTCATCGGCGAAGCGCAGGTCACTAAGGTATTCTCCATTGACTCTTATCCCTAACTGTTCCCATTCTAGGCTTCCGAAAACCTCCTGTAAGCACGCGGTAAATAGCATTGGGGAAATTGTGTCCCCCTGCCTTACACCCTTCTTGACTGGTATTCGGTTGCTTTCTTTATGAAGCACTATGGTAGCAGTTGATCCCCTGTAGATTTCTTCCAGAATGTTTATATATACTTCATCTACGCCCTGATTCCGCAGTGTTTGCATGACGGCTGATATTTCTACTGAATCAAACGCCTTCTCGTAATCTATGAAGGCTATGTATAGAGGTTGGTTATACTCTGAGCATTTCTCTATTACCTGATTGATAGTATGAATGTGGTCAATTGTTGAGTAGCCTGTTCGAAATCCTGCTTGTTCTTTTGGTTGATTGAATTCTAATGTTTTCTTTACTCTGTGAGCAATTACCTTTGTAAATAGCTTGTATACTACAGAGAGCAAGCTGATCGGCCTGTAATTCTTCAAGTCCTTGTCATCTCCTTTCTTATGTATTAAGATGATGTTAGCGTTCTTCCAAGACTCTGGTACCCTTCCCGTCAGGAGACACCTCGTAAACAGGGTGGCTAGTTTTTCTAACACAATCTGTCCTCCATCTTTCAGCAGATCTGATGTTACCTGATCCTCACCAGCAGCTTTGCCTCTTTGCATGCTCTCCAAAGCTTTTCTGACTTCTTCTATCATTACTGGTGGGGTGTCGTCTGGGTTACTGCTAGTTCTTATAGTATTAAGGTCGTGGTTGTCTCGGCTACTGTACAGATCTCTGAAAAACTCCTCCGCTATTTTAACTATCCTATCCATATTGGTAGTTATTTTGCCTTCTTTGTCCCTTAGTGCATACATCCGACTTTTGCCTATCCCAAGTTTCTTCTTCAATGCTTTGACACTTCCTCCGTTTTTCAGAGCGTGTTCAATTCTCTCCATGTTATACCTTCTTACATCGCATACCTTACGTCTATTAATCGACTTCGAAAGCTCTGCCAGTTCTATTTTGTCTGTTGTACTTGACACTTTCATGACTTGACGCTTCTTAATTAGGTTCTTCGTTTCCTGGGAAAGCTTGCCAGTGTCCTGTCTTACTACCCTGCCTCCAACTTCCACTGCACACCCCGTAATGATACTCGTCAGGTTATCATTCATTGTATGTACGCTAAGGTTGGTTTCCTCACTAAGAGCCGAGTACCTGTTCTGCAGCGACACTCTGAATTCCTGTACTTTCCCTCTCAGTGCTAGCTGATTGATTGGCTTCTTGCGTATCAGTTTCTGTCGTTCCTTCTTCAAGTCTAGGCGAATTCGAGACCGTACCATTCTATGGTCACTGCATCGTACCTTGCCAATCACTTCCACATCCAGCACGATTCCAGGGTGTGCACTCATTATAAATTCTATTTCGTTCTTATTTTCGCCATTAGGGCTCCTCCATGTCCACTTGCGGTTTTCTCGTTTTCAAAATCCGTAAATTATTGCGTTCTGCGAATTCTACTAGTAGCTCTCCTCTGGCGTTTCTAGTACCGATGCCATAATCTCCTACTGCCTGGTCTCCAGCCTGCTTCTTCCCTACCTTTGCATTAAAGTCGCCCATCACTACAGTATACTGTGTTTTTACCTTACTCATTGCCGATTCCACGTCTTCATAGAAGCTTTCAACTGAAGCGTCATCATGGCTGGATGTAGGCGCGTAAGCCTGTACTACCTTCATCTTGTATCTTTTATTCAGTTTATTTACAATACCTACCACCCTTTCGTTAATGCTATAGTATTCCTCTATGTTGCCAGCTATGTTTCTGTGAATTAGGAACCCCACTCCCAGTTCTCTTCTGTCTGCCAAGCCCCTGTAGCAAAGAACGTGCCCATTCTGTAGCACCGTATAGGCCTCATCTGTCCTCCTAACCTCACTGAGCCCTATTATATCCCATTTAACACTCTCTAGCTCCTCGAATAGTACAGCTAGACTTCCCTCACTAGATAAGGTTCTAGCGTTAAACGTTGCGAAGTTCAGGTTCCAATGGCGGCCTGTCCGGATCCAGAGATTCTTAGCACCCTCTGCTGCGTTGCAGATCTGACCGCCGCCGTGGTCAGTTGCTTCGCAGCTGCTGGGGACTGAGGGCCGTGAGTTATTTGACGTAAGCATGTGGGAGGTAGTGACCAGATACTGCACCAGGGTGGCCAATCCTTCTCTGGTGAGGGAGTGCGTTCTCGGCGGTGTTTGCCGGTGAGGCCGCACCCCAGGCCTCTTAATGCAGTTCCATCAACACGCGGATTTTTTTTTTAATCCGGTTGGAAACTGCGCGGTACCGGGATCTGAACCACGGACCTCTTGCATGCGAGGCGGATGCTCTAACCACTACGCCATCGCCGCACCTCTGGTCAGTACAATGAGCCTCCAAGCACCGAGGTTCTGCGCGACCGGTCACAGACGCATTTCATTCTGTTCAGCTAGAATTATTCATGATTACTTCCTGAATCGTACTGAACTTTTTTCACCCAGGCTGCGACAAAATGCGATTTAGCATTTTTCTTTACTATGTGCAGACTTTATCGTCAATGATTCTGTGAAGGCAGATGTGCAGAAAGCCCAGCGAAATTACGAGGAAAATACAGGCAACCTCCAGTTGGCTGCTATGGTTCACTCGAGCCTTAGCAGAGAGCTTATCAAGCAGAGCAAGCTCAGTCCGGATTCAGTCATGCCGCTCTCTTTTCAGGTACGCCCAAAAATGCCCCACCTTCAAAGATACTTTAATCTGCTTTTCTGCTATCATGTCTCAGAAGAATTGCTTGCACCCAAGTGCGTATGCCTTTTGCAACATGAACCATTTAAGGAAAACAATGTTGCATGGGAGAGGTATTATTTTCCAGCCAAAAGCTCTTGAGCAGAAAGAAGCAAGATAGAGTGCCATCCATTTAACAACCTTGCCTTTACCATAATTGAAACTTCACAAGCATGCCTACATGCAGGCAGCTGTAAAAGATTGCATTCCCCCTTAGGGGAGACAACGCATGGTTGAACTGCTACAGAAAATTTTGTAAATAGTTGTTAAAAAGCATCTCTTGGAGTAGTCAACACAGTTATGTAAATTAATCATTTGGCACTACCGTACACACTAATGCGCATGCTTACAGAAAAACCCTTAGGAGCTTTCAATACAAGCATAGACCCTAATGCAAGTACTAATGAGAATGCTGCATCTCCTCACACTTTGTGCAGCTGGCCTATTTCCTGGCACACGGAGGCACTGCGGCCACCTATGAATCGTGCAGCACGTCTGCTTTCAAGCACGGGCGAACAGAAACAGTGCGGCCCGCAACAATGGCCACAAAACATTGCGTAAACGCACTCAGTTCGAACAAAGACCTCAAGCATGCTAGACCCCTGCTGGAGGAGTGCTCTAGAGTTCACAACCAGCTCACAAAGGAGGCGGCCATGGGTACAGTACTGCTAACTTGCCATAGCAAGACTACTAGTGCAAATGCTGTGCAAATTTTATGAAAATGTTGGTATGAAAATGCAGTTGTGTAACATTGCAGGCACCATGCAATAATTTGGAGAATGCAAAAGCAGGGTATGTCGGTAAAGATAAACCGAGGTGATACTCAAAATCACCTCAAGGATTTAATTACATCTGAGTGCACTTGCCTTGTTTATCGGAGTAACTAGTATATTTGGTGACCAATAAAAATAATAGTATTTGTTGGGGTTTAACATCCCAAAACTACAATAGAATTGTGAGGGAAACTGTAGTGGAGGTCTGCAAAAACTTGGCCACCTGGTGTTCTTTAACGTGCACTTACATCCAAGTACATGGGTTTTTAGTATTTTACCTCAATTGAAATAAGGCCACTGCAACCTTCAGGTTAGCAGTTGGGTGCCATCACCACTACTGGACCACTGTGGCAGATGTATTTTGAGTGACCAGTTGCTATGTTATGTGCTTGTGTACATCAAGCTGGACTGCTAAATGCAACACTTGCCACAGTTGAACTATGTTTAGCAGCTCGTATAAATACTGTAGACCTGGCTTGAGAAGGGCACTGAACTTTATGGGTAAAGTAGCACACAAGAAAAGGGAAGTATTGAACTATCATGCTTGCTTTGCTTTCATTTTGTGGGTCTACCCAAAATCACAAAGATATGGCTATTATTTTACTGCAGGTCAGGGGTTCGACCGCCACTTGTTTGCCTTGAGAGTCCTGGCTGAAGAGAAGGGGCGGGCCATGCCAGCAATTTACAGAGACAAATGCTTCGAAAAGGCAAACCACTTTGTCCTTTCAACATCCACCTTACATGGTGTGGCTTTCAGTGGTAGAGGCTTTGCACCTGTCGTGCCAGACGGCTACGGCATCGGCTATGGCATGGTTGATGACAAGTTGGGAGCGCTGGTCAGTGCTTACAGCCCACATCGGGACGCCAGGAATTTCTCAGCGTGCATGGCTGAAGCTCTAGATCGTATTTGTATTGCCATGAAGTGCACCTAGGTAGCGATAGTATTCTTTAAGTGAAGACTGTTGATAATGCATTCCTCTAATTTTTGGTTTAATTTAAAGTAATAGCTGCCACTTCACTAACAATAAGTGAGCATAGGGGCTCAATCACTTTTTGTATTCTTTGTGTAAGATGGTATTGACAATTTCGTGGAGCATACGGTGTACAGTGTCATTCAGTACAGCATCTATGGTTATCGTGTACCATTTTACACTACATTACGAATCAGTGTTGTGAACAAATGAATGCAACGTACATTTTAAGTAGCACACGTGAGCACGGACATACATAGTACATACATGTATATATTGATGCTTTGTACACTTGTAAAAGACAATAAAAAGTATTTCTTGATCAGGGTGCTGTAATAAATACCACTCTCTCGTGTTCACTGACTAGTGGAGGAAAGAATATGTTGCAAAGTGGAGCACTCATTTCATGTGCATATGTGTTTACCGTCCATGACTTCTGTGAAAATGCAGCCACTTTAAATCAATGTGACAACTCAAAGTTTCATTCATCATGCCCAGATTTCGTGACATACGGTTTTGTTATGCAGCTAACAGGCTTTTTCATAGGCTGCACTTTGCTTAAACAAACAGATGAGCAAAAATCAGCCTAAAGCAACATTTTTTCAACCACACATTCATTAAGAAAGACAATGGAAAAGGTAGCTGTGAGTGATCTGCTATCACAGTTCACTGTAGTTAATGCCGGAGTAGCACCTCTTGTGCAATACTGCCATTTCTAACGATTGTAAATTGCACTAAACCATTAGGAGTAGCATCACATGTCTAGAGCCATCCCAGAAAAATATTTGTTCGTAAATTTGTTAAAACTTTATGGATATCTGCACCCAACCTTGGGGGAAAAAATACATTTAAAAGTGAAGATTTAATAGTAATGTGGAAATGCACTGGCAATGTAAATATATAAAATGCTATAACAGTCTAAAATTCTCGCATTGAAAAGTGTAGATGTGCAGTAAAAGAACAAGTGGAAGATAGAACACAACATATCGAATTGAATATCAGAAACACTGAAAGCACCGACAAGTAAACACTGCAGAGAGAACTGCAGTCATTAAAGCATGCAAGAAACCTTCAATCAGCAGAAGCATAAAAAGAAAGAGGATCAGAAGGTCAGTGAAGCAATACCGGCTACACAATTTTCTCCACTTTGCTTCAAGAAGTGTGTGATAGAAAGCTTCGGTGGTAGTGCAGTCTTCTAAAATAAAAGCCAAGCCAATGTTGAGGGTTCGACACAGGTTTAGTGTAAATTTCACTTTAGGAGTGCTGCAGCTCAAGCCATCACAGTGAAAAGTGCTAAACGAAAATCTCGAAGTACAAAAATTGACTCGTATCACTTTACATAATACGGCTTGTCACGAGAACATAAAAAATATTGCATTACGTGATGACTGCAGCAAGAAGCTTTGTTTAGATGCACATGCATTGTGAAAGACAATCTAAAACTACCTCGACATCAAAAATTAAGATGCAGTGAAAAAACTAAGATAATTCGAGTTAAGACGTTCAATGCAGTTTTTGCACTTGATGATAAAAAAATTCTGTTTCCTGTTAATAGAGGTGGGAAAAGCCCACATAAAAAGGAAAACGAAGAAAAAGCCGATCACCTTGTGCTTCAATGCAGGCACCACTGTCTGCTTGACGTCAATGTTTTGCCAGGAAGTTTGTATACAACCGCCACACAATTTTCAATCAGTGTCACTCTTGCCTCTCATCTCTGACATGCAGTTCTACTAGCAACAATGCTGAAAAAAAAAGAAGACACCACAAAAATCGTGCCAGTAAAGTGTTGAAGCGACTGCTGAAAGACTAATCCAGAATATTTTGTGTGCACGTGGTAAAGCAGGAGGAAAATGTGGTCCCTTTCCTTCACAAATGTTCCAAGAGCAGCGAGAGAGCAGAGTGATTCTAATGGCTCTTGCGTGTCGTGTCGATGGAAGACGCATGGTCCGTTTTGCTTGGCCCAGTCTCATGATCACCACCAAGGCAGTGATATAGCAAGCACATTTCAGGCTGGTGGCCCATCCAGGCTCGCACTGTGCGCGTGGTGACCTTCTTTGTGAGGAGAGCTGTTTGTGGGTGGGCAGTTAGGAGAGTCAGTGCACACTTAGGCTGGCAGTGGCAGCCAATGGCACAGAGTTGGGATGAGCCAAAAGCCCCAGGCGCTGCTTGTGTTTCCGCTGTTCTGTCATCTGCATTGCACATGAATTAACACGGTAGCATGGTAAACTGCTCTGCCATGGCTGAAAATGAAACATAACATAACTTTGAAGCACCTAGGTGGCCCTTTTTGAGAGTGACTTTTCAGCCTATCTTGTGTCCCTTTCAGAACAAAGGCCTCCCCCATAATCTTCAATCTGCGCTCTCTACCATGAACTGATTTTGTTTGATCCCTGACTCATCTAAATCACTGCTGCTCTTGGCTTATTTTTCGTTCTCTTATCCACTCAATTGCTCTAACTGACCACCCGTTGTCGACTAACACATTAATTTCTTTTGCCTAATATCGTCTTGAATATCAGCAACACTTGTCTAATTTCTGAACCAATTTACTGCCTTCTGATCTATTTTCTGTTATACTGCATGCTGCAAAGTTCTTGAAATTTCTCTTGTTCTAGTCCAAGTTTCAATACAGCCTGAAGTATGCACAATAATTGTACACATTTTGTTTTAGACACAACTGCAGTTTGCCTCTCAGAATTCAGCGATTTTTGCCATATGCGTTCTAGCCCATCTTTATCCTTCAGTGGGTTTCCTTTTATTGTGTATGCTCCCCTATCAGTAGTTGACCTAGGTACATAGTATTCTTATACATAGACTGCAAGGGTTGGTTGCCATCGTGAATTATTTTTCCACGTGTCCACAGGCAAACTTGACGACTGCATAACTTGAACAAAAAACACTGAGACAACACTAAAACATAGTCAAAGGTGGACATTCAGCCTGGCTGGTCCAGCACATGAACAAATATAATAATAATTCTCATGGTTTGACGTGCCAAAACCGCAATTTGGTTATGAGGCACGCCATAGTGAGAAACTTTGGATTAATTTCAGCCGCCTAGTGTTTTTAAACGTGCACTTGTATTTAAAGGCATTTTCTGCACATGAACAATTGTAAAGCGTTCAAAAGGAATAAGAATGAAGGAGGAGGACACACACATCCATGCCACAAAAATCTTTTGCAAGCTTTATGAGGCAGGAGATGGTGCACAAGTGACGACTAGCAATTCGTCATCGTCAACGAGTGAGCAAGCACATTACCTGGTCCCTGAGCTCGGCCAGCTGCCGAGACAAGGTGGTAACCAGACGTTGGGTGTCCTCAAGCTGGTTCTGCAGTGTGCGCATCTCATTCTGCTCCCCATCTGCTTCATCTGCTGCAAGTGACATGGCACGCATGCGTGGGAACCACTCAAGGTTCTTCTCCTGCAGCCCCACAAGGTACACACAATGCCACAGGATACTGTGGAATACTAGGCCGTTTCACTATGGAATACTATGGCCATTCCACACATGCATTTTTGGCACAGCTATTTCACAACTGCACAGTGTTCTTCCACACGAATTTCACATTTTACCCGATCCTTGTATTAGGTCAACATAGTGCAATTGTTGAAGAAATAAAGCATTAGTACAATTTACGAAAGATGGCCTTCAAGTACACATTTGGCACAGAGATCATTAGAACAGAAGAATTAAGTCACCTGCTACAGTCAAAACAAAATGTTTCACTGTCCATACATAACTTATTCACTACAAAATGTCACTTTGTTTCAACTTTGTTGAGCGCAGTAAAGCTTTCATTTGATACAGTTTGTGTGTTCTTGAACACACATTGCAGGGCTGCATGAAACAGAGTACACAGGATAAGAGCACTGGTACCTTTGTAACAGTAACCTTTGCAAAAGTACCATGCTGCTAGTTTTGCAAAGGTTTTACCTGACCAGTTCATATTCCTTAAAAGCCCTTGAATACACATAATAATTATGATCCATAAGTGGAGCATCATTACAATGGTTTGTTTGCTCATCATAAAACATTCAAGATGAGAGGAAGCCAACAAACTGCATTTTCTGCGCAATAAATATTTTGGTCTGGGATTCTTCACGATTTTTTCTTTACAACTGAACTGTTATATGGCATCGACATTACTGTGCAGTTCTGTGCAGTTCTTGGGGGCATAGTTCTTCAATGATCCCCACTGCAATTGACACCATTATTGCGGCACGTTTGTGGAGGTAGCAGCCACAAAGAACAAGAAACGCGACCGAGGTCTCGCGTGAAGTCGAGGTGCGCAAGTTGAGGCACGTAAGCGCCATTTTCGGAACGATGTATTGAAGCTGTTTCAGTGAGTATTAGGCTGAAAAGTATGACGTTGGTTTCCTTTTTGTGTACACCATTGATTGACAGGAAAAAAGAAGCCATTTTTTCATTTTCCAATCACTGGTCCCTAATCACCTAATTTGATGCTACGTTAATTAATCCAAAACTGCTTGTACCAGTGGCTCAATTTTTGTTTGTGGTCTTCAGACGTCCTAACTACCAGAAAAACGTGCACAAAAAGTGTATCCGACCAAAATAAAAAATCCAGGGCTGAAAGGGTTAATTCTATTTGCTATTTATCATGTTTTGTAAATACTTTGTAGAGAACGGAGAGTAAGCTGATCGGTCTGTAATTTTTCAAGTCTTTGATGTCTCCTTTCTTATGGATTAAGACGGTGTTGGCATTCTTCCAAGATTCTGGTACCTTCCTGTCAAGAGACACTTCGTACATAAGTTGGTCAGTTCTTCTAACACAGTTTCTCTGCCATCTTTCGACAGGTCCGCTGTTACCTTATCCTCACCAGTGGCTTTGCTATTTGCATTCTTTCTAGCGCTTTCATTACTTCCCCTGGCATTACTGGTAGGATGTTGAATTTCTCTGGGCTATTATATTGCTTTACGGTGTCATCCTTCATTGTTTCGGCCTCTGTACAGCTCTCTGTAGAACTCCTTCGCCACCTCAACTATCCTATCTCTATTGGTTATGACATTGCCTTCCTTGTCTGCTGACGCATACATCCAATTTTTGCCTATGCACAAGTTTGCATTCACAGCTTTTAGGCTTGTGTCGTTTTTTTACACCCTGCTCGATTCTCTCCATGTTATACCTTCTGATGTCGGCTACCTTACGCCTATTGATTAGCTTCGAAAGCTCCACTAGCATGATTTAGTTAGTTGAATTTGAGGATTTAATGGCTTGTCGTTTCTTGGTGGGGCCCTACAACACGTTTTGAGCATGGTCAGAAAACTCTGCCGATCGGTAGTAGAGGCTCCCAAGAACACGCGA